GGCCAGGTGCTACTATTCCTATATCTTAATTATTAGGTTAAAACCCCGATTCAGTCCCTGAACTTTAATTTTTGGACTAAAAATACCCTCAAACTAAAAAAGTATTAAAAAAATCCCTAAACTTCAATTTTTGGAACCATTTTAGTCCTTCCGTCGACGGAAGTGCCAGATAGCACATTAAATTGCCACGAAATCAATTATTGTTTGAAATATTTAATTACATGGAAAATAACTTATTATCCACGTCATTTTAATTAATTTATATATTAAAAAATTTAAAATTTCTTAAATACCTCCAATCAACACCGATTATTCCTCATTACTCCGATCATCTCTTTCTACTCCAATCACCATCTCCTTCTTCCCCAAACCTCCCAAACCTCCTCTCTGAAACCCAAATCTTATACCAAATTTATAAAAATTTAACAAATTAATCATATTGCAAACCTATACCAAATCTGTAACAGAAAAGAAAAATGCAAAAAACGCAACAGCCCTTCAATCAACACCAACCGTAACTGAACCTTGAAATTCAAGCAAGCAGAACCCATATCAAAACTCTAAATCCATACCAAGATAGTCAAGCATCACTGCAGCCAACAAAGAAACAGAAGAAAAACCCAGGCGTGTTTGACTCGAACCCGCGCCTGGGTTCCCGAACCCAAGCCCTAGGTTCCTTCAAACCCAGTAGGCAGGGAAGGAGAAAAAGAAAAAAAGAAAAAGAAGGGAAAAAAGAAGATAAGGGTATTTTGGTAACTTCAAAAAATATAAAAAATTAAAGATAAGGGATAATTGTGTAATTTTAAGGATAAAATGCCAACTCATACACTTTTACATGTGGTTTTTCCATGTCATTAGTTGAAAAAAAAAGAGCTTGATTTCGTGGCAACTTAACGTGCCATCTGGCACTTCCGTCGACGGAAGGACTAAAATGGTTCCAAAAATTGAAGTTTAGGGATTTTTTTAGTACTTTTTTTAGTTTGAGGGTATTTTTAGTTCAAAAATGAAAGTTCAGGGACTGAATCGGGGTTTTAAACTAATTATTAAGAATAACTTATTTTTTTTACCATTCATTTATTATAAAATAAAAGAAAAAATGAAAGTACTTTAGAATGATTGATGGCTGTAACCCGTGCCACTGCGGTTTCCTGATAAGGACAACGGAACAATCCAGTAACGGGACAATTGTGGCCAGGATTAAAACACGCTTTTTCTTTGCTCTACCCTGCCCTCGAGCCTGAAAAAAAAAATGGCGTCTCCCATCAATCTATCAACCCTTCAAGGTCCTCCCTTACGATCCCATTTCCTGGGACAAAACCGTCTGTTACATCATTCTAGCAGGCCATCTTTCCCAGTCACCAAACTGCATTTTCTGACAGTCCATGCCAAGTTCGACCTGTCTGAGATCCTGGGAGGCAGAGGACTCTGTAATGGAGAAAAGGGTTTGCAACAAGAGCTCAAGAGAAACATTGAACAAGAATCCTCGGAAGCCATAGCAGAGCAAAAGAGCTCCGATGCCACAACAATCTCTGTTCCAGAAGATGCTTTCGATAAGGAGTTGATGGGACTCACTGGAGGATTTCCAGGTGGTGAAAAAGGATTGGAGAAATTCATCACGGAGAATCCACCACCCAAGAAACAACCAATTGAAGACTCTAGAAGAGTTCTTGAACTAGCTACCTCAAAGAAGCCGAGACCACCTGAATTGCCCCTGTTAATGCCTGGAATGGTTGCAATTGTCAAGAATCCTAATAACCCATTTTACATGTACTGTGGCATAGTGCAGCGAATCACAGATGGGAAGGCAGGGGTTCTTTTCGAGGGAGGAAACTGGGATCGGTTGATAACATTTCGGCTTGAGGAGCTTGAGCGCAGGGATAAGGGGCCTCCGATGAAAAATCCCAAGTCAGTTATCCTTGAGACTATGCTAGAAGAGAATTTACAATGATGCACATATATTCTATTTCCATAACACATGTATGAATGATTATATGCAATATATGAACTTCTGAGAGTTCAAGCTTTAGATAGTAATCACTTGCTTAAGCACTTTCAACAAGTACCTAAACTAGAGGTAAAATCGAAACATCCTATATCATCATCAACAAGATCAAACATACAAATAAAGAATGGACCAGAAAAGGCTTTCAATCAATGATTCCATGTTTATTCACTGAGATTAGTATTCATTAGAAATGTCATTAGAAATTCAAGTTTCAATATTAAGACAACAAAAATACTTAGCAGACAAACCACCCATCAGATTGCCTTCCATTCTTGAAATTCCGGGGCATGATTAGAAGCAGCCTCCCAACTGCCAAGAGAGAAAGAACAGGTAAATAAATTTTGAAGAAACCAAAAGATTTAGACGAGAAAAGAAGTTCATCTTCAAGGACTGTAACACACTCATAATTCCATTGAGTTAAGATTAATTTACAAGATGAGCACTAAAGAAATGGTATTTTTCATTGTAAGAAACATTTGGCTAGTGAGACATCAAAAGCACTCTTAAGCAGCCAATATGGCCAAAGTGTGGAACATCAAATATTAATCCAATCTTATACCCAACTCCAAGAAAATATCAAAACCTTGGGAATATATGTTGACTTAAGTAGAAACTTGTAAACCTGAAAAACAGCATCATTTAAATGGTTGACTTCTGAAGCGAAGCTGGAACAGTACCAGAACAGAAAAGGTCACAAGGCTTAGATTTATCCATCAAAATTATTTTCCTTGTCATAAGAAAGGGGATTCAGTAATTTGCAGAATATGGGAAACAATATTAAAGGTCAGCAATGGCAAAATAATTTGGGCAATAACTTCACTACAACTCCTTTACATACCAGAACAGCCTCAATTTCCTCATTAGGGACAGGTGTTCTTTTAGGCTGAAGAGAAGCTTTCCCTCCAACACTAGCAGGAGCCTTTGAGCTAAGAAGGAAAGTCATATCAGAATTGCCAGCTTTTGATGTTGTTTGAGGCTGTGATCCTGAAACAGGAAGATATTTTTATTGCATCATCATCATCATCATCTTATAATTCTAGTCATCTCAAAATCAAAACTTTTCTAGAATTCCAGATTAACAATTCCCACCCATTTTTTGATGGACTAAGTACTACTTAGAGTCAGTCAATATCAATACAAGAATTGGGACCTCCGGTTTCCTGCATCTGTTGTTTCACATTCCACAGACAGCTAAATTGCAAATACCATGAGATAGGACTTAGGACGCTGCACACATTACCAATTGATGGTCAACTAGAACGAGTTCTCTGTAAATTGAAAACCATCCTAACCTTTTAACATTTTTGCAGAAGTAGCAACATTTAAGATTTCGAAATGGAAACTGCCCTAATGCTCTACCAGTTGCACCAGACAATGACCTCTGAAGCTGGAATAATCTTGGATGGAAACTTGACAATTCTATAGCAATTCACAAATGACATCAAAAGCCAATATTCATCAAGGACAGCTTCCCACCATTTTTATTAATTTTTGCCTTTGAGAGTGCAAAGTAAAAGGATGAATCTTAAAGACGAATTAAATCGATATTCATTAAAGACAGCTGATCGAATTAAGGACGAATAAAACCAAATTGGGTGCCTAAAACAAACGCAAAATTCATCTGGGTATGCATGTGTCTCAACAATCAAGGATCCAACAAGATGAAGTTTGAATACGATAAGAAATCATAAACGATAAAATATACACACAAAAAAAAAGAAAAAGAAAAAGAAAAAGAAAACAACGATTGCAAAAGAATCAATATATGAATAGAGAGGAGGAAAGGAGACCAGTGGACTTGGGGTGTCTCTGAGGGAACTTGATGCGAGGGATTCTCTTCAACGCCTGAGCTCCACCCATCTCTCTTCCTCCTGTTTTTGGGGCGCACGTTTCGAAACTCGTCGGGAAATTGACGGCGGTTTTCCGATGGAGATCTTGGGTCTTGCAAGGAAGGTGTAATGACTTTCTCTAGGAATAGTCGACGGTGCCGTTTAGTGGAGAAGAAGAAGAAAGGGGATGTTCTCGACAGTTGGATTGGGCCGCACGTCAATCTGGGTAGTCGGTATGCAACAAAGCCCACAAGAGAAGGCCTAGTACAGAAATGGGCATCAAAGCCCATAAAGCCCATACAAACACTGATTTGATCCAGAATAAGCCCAATTTCAACTACAGGAAAGAGCAGACTTCATGCGCAGAGGCGAGAGGAGGTAGAAGCTCTCGTTCAAATTCGTGAGATTTTGAAGAAATTCTATTTAAGGTAAACGTAGAAAGCTGTGAGGAAACAAGCAAGAATGCTGTAAGACCCGTCCCCCACGTCCCCGATCAATTCAACGTAAACGTGGAAAGCTGCGCGAAAACAAGCAATATATAATATTTTAAGATCAACCCACTACTCCTCAACCGTGGGGCACGCCGGGATCCCCTCTCCATTAATTTTAAGCGTCTTTATATGGCTCAAGATATGAGTTTTCTCAATGAAACAATAACTTCTTTGTTTACTGTTTTTTTGGGTTGAAGCTGTTCTTCAACCAATTTACGCTTATTTTAAGGCTAAGCCCCTTAAACTTACCCAAAATCTTGATAAAGTTTTTAAATTTTTGTTGAAACAAATAAATCTCTAAATTTGATAATTTAGGCAATTTAACATTTTTCCTTAAAGGCAAACTTAACATCTTATTACGTGAATAAAATCAATACTTATCATATAGACAATAATATACCAATACCTTATTTGCACAAGTACGGTAACGCCTTATTTATACAAGTAAGGTATAAATGAGTATTAAATCTGTCATAAAATAAAAAGGATCAAATTGCCAAAATTACTAAATTCAGATTCTTATTTGTTTCAACAAAAATTTATAAATTTAACCAAGAATTTAGAGTAAGCTTGGGGGTTTAATGTAAGATTTGGCCTTAAAATTTTGAGGATGTCTTTTTCAGTCAACTTAAGAAAAACTTATTATTTAAAACTCTAAGTTTGACTGTAATTTTAAACACTTGAAAAAACCTAGTACGTTTGGGAACGGGATTTTCATGGAGTATATTTGAATTTGAACATTTCAAATTCAATAGCATTGTTTGTTTTCACAAAATGAGTACGTAACTGAATTTATCTCAAATACATATAATTGGGTTCATGAATTTCATTG